TAAAAAAAAAAAAAAAAAAAACATGACTTTAAGTGCAGATGACTAGGGTTAACTCTGGTGTACAGGTTACAGTCTTCAGGGCGAGATCCGCTTTCCTAATTTTGGTCATGGCCCTATCCATTAATTAGCCTCTCTGACTGGGACAGAAGAAGAAAAGAGGAAACAAAAATTCTTCCTTTTTACTGTAGTGAGAAGTTCAGAATCATTTCAGTCAGTGAACAGTCATGAGTTCCTTCAGGATGTCAGTTACATTTCTAATATACGGTAACTGTTCAGCATGTTGGGATTTATAGTCAAACAATTCACTGGATTTTAGCACTCTTTGTTCGTATTCCACTTAACCCTTAATAATTGCCATGAGGAGATAAGCCACACAGTTTATTCACCATGCTTTCTTCTGGTGGTGGTTATGGAGAGGCAAGAGAGGCATGTTGTTGCTTGCTTGCCTGGGACACATTTTGGGTGGTAGTGGTGGTGTTTTTAATGGTACAGTAACATTTAAAAACACGGTGCTCAAATTAGATTACCATCTGAAATTTGATAAGCTTTTTTTTTTTCAGTTCTTTTTTTTTTAATTACTCAAAAATCAGTGATTATTAGGACAAGGGAGAAATGATTTTGACATTTTAAGAACATAAATCTCATAACCATTGTTCCTTTGTGAATTTAAGTCTTCACATCTCAAATTTCCAGTGCCTAGTAAAGAATGCTATGCGCCAGAAAGGCCGTTTAAGAAATCATTGCAAGGATGATTTGCCTTTCATTACCTCAGTGTCAAAGTAGGCATTCAACCAAGGAACCACCACTAATTGCAGATACTGGTTTTTCAGCACTAGAGCAACTTTGAAAATGAAAATGAAAAGCAATACTTATAAACCCTGAGGGAGCTTCTTAATAGAGAAGATGCTTTTCATTTAGGTTCTTGCTTTTCCCTTTAACACCTTCTATTTCTGGTTATCTCTGAAGTCTGGAATTGCCTTAATAATTTGGGAATTGCCTTAATAATTTGTTAGGCTTCTGGTTAGATTTTTTACTAGTAATATGATACCTTTCTACAGAGTGAGACGGCGTCGAGATCAGGAAGATGCCTTGAACCAAAGATACCCTGAGAACAAAGAAAAAAGAAGCAAAGAGGACAAAGAAATTCACAACAAGTACACAGAAAGGGAGGTGTCAACAAAAGAAGATAAGCCCACGCAGTGCACACCTCAGAAAGCCAAGCCATTGCGGGCAGCTGCTGACCTGGGGAGGGAGAAGATCCTCAGGCCACCAGTGGAAAAATGGAAGAGACAGGATGACAAAGACTTAAGAGAAAAACGTTGTTTTATTTGTGGAAGAGAAGGGCACATTAAAAAGGAATGCCCACAGTTTAAAGGCTCTTCAGGTATGGACACCTATCACACCTTGATGCTCGCTCTAACATCTCAAGGGAAATCTCTTTAGAGCTCTTTACTGTTTTAATCATCTTTATCAGTATATTTACTCAAAAAAGACTTTGTTTTTAAGAAAGTAAAATCCCTTCCGCCTCCTTTAATGTTGATCCTTCATATATTTTAAATACTTATTCCTGGCTTTATTTAGAGTCTTATGACAGTCATTTGGTGAAATTTTCTAAGATTATTAATGAGGTGAAAGTGTAGTCATCCCTGGTACCTGCAAATGTAGCCTCAGTGACCAGAAAAGAAGCTGCACCTTGAGCTTTGCTACTTAGTATATGTAGTTGTGAGGTCAAATCACAGAGGGAGACAGTAGCTCGAGTTATCTCAGGATACCATGCACTGTGCACAGGTGAGCCACACCCAGGCACATGCATAGAAAAGGGAACAGAAAGAAGTAGGCTGCACAGTTAGCAGTGGGTGTATCTGCAGAGGGGAATTATGGAAGATTTTTTTTCTGTAGATTTTGTCATTTCAGTTTTCTACAAGTGAGCATGATTATTCTTATGATGAAGAAAATATCTATAGCAGTCATTAGCACAACACCATCCACAAACCTTGCCCCTTTGAGTTGTTAAATACAAATTGGCCATTTTTGCTAACTGGGTGAAATGTCTATTGTGGGCACCTTTTTAACAGACTACTAACTGTAAGAATATCTTGTGTGTGTATAATAAGTAATGATTTACAAAGCAATTTACATTCTCACTTCTCAGAACAGTGCAAGTGATGAAATTTGATAAGCATAGAAATCTTGGGAAGTAATTTTTTTTTTTAATTAAAGTAGTTAATCCTGTCGCTATCCTCAGTTGTATATATATGTTTGTGGACAGCATAAAATGTCAGCTGCTTCACAGTTTCCTTAAAATACTCCACGTGTATAGTTCTTGGAACAAGAATACCTCTCTTCCATTTTATTTTATCACATTCAGCAATATAGTGTATCTTTTTTTAAGACAGGAGATTTTTAGATCATACCCATTCTTTTTTAAAGGAGCTTTATATGAAAAGAAAAATATTTAAAATTTTTTATCTGTTATTTTTAGAGTAGGGTTTAAATGTTTATGAAAGATACAGCTTTAGCTAGCTCACATGGCCATACACCAGAATAAAGTGATTTTCTTTTGTTGTTATAGGAGGAAATGTATTTAAAAGAAACTACAATCATAATAGTTGCCAGCATTCATTGAGCATTCATTATGAGTTAGGCACTATTTTAAGTACTTTACATAGATAATTTCATTTAATTTTCACAACAGCTTCATTAAATGTGGTGGTATTAATATCCATAGTTTTACAGGTAAGGAAACTGTAAATAGTATAGGTAAGTTTTAAATAGTATTCCCAAAATTATTCAAGGCCTGTGTTGATGACTCATGACTGAAACATTATTACAGTCTTCCTCTTTAGTACAACAAAGTAGAGAATTTACCCTAGCTTTGATGAATTTCTTTTTTCTTGCTAGCAGCAAGTTTTAAGTTGTTTACTAGGGAAGTTCTCACAACAGTTAGACCAGTGATTTTGGCAGCCTATGGGGCAGCAGCAACTCAAAAAGAAAGGGGAGTCCTGGTGGCAGGGGGATTATCAAGCATAAGGAAAAGTGCTTCTCTAGAAGTGCGGTCCCTTCAGAATGCAGTCTTGACATACTATAGTTAGTAGTCATCATATTTTAAAAGTGAAATGCCAGTGGAAGCGTGGGGATAGATACAGGGAGTTTCCTTTGGTGACAGTTAAAAAATAATCAGCCCCTTCTTCCTGTCTAAAAATTATGCTGCTCTCTCTTGTTTCTTCAGATATGTTGCTCCTTTGTCCACACAATATACTGAATGGAGCTTCTGTCACACCAACAGAAAGTCTCTCTCTGAAAGTTTGAAAATAGGGCTACTGCTTTCAATTTAAATTGGAACAAAAAGTACTAATTTCTTTTTTTAGGAATGTGTAAATCCGATTGTATGTTTGGATCCCCCTCACCTGTCCCTTTGAGACCAACTGGTCCATTTGTTCAGGTAAACTTAGCTCAAACAAAGAAGGAGGCATGTCTGTCATCTGTTCACTCAGGAGATGCTCCCTGAGTGCTCTCAGCTCTGCACCAGGTCCTGGGCACCGTGGTGGCAGCCTGGGCCCTCCTTCTGACTGACCTGCAGTGCTCTTTTTCTCTGTGCTGTGTGTGTTCGGTGCATGGTGAGGCTTGCTGGGCACTGGATGGCAGGGCCTTGTTTCAGAACTCCTGCATATGGTCTTGCTTTTCAGTTAACTTGGAAAATTCTGCTACCCACATGCCTTATTTCAGCTCTCCTTGGGTATGGTTTCAGTTTTAAGGCTGTTTCAGATGCTCTTCTTTTCGATATTGTAAACCAGTCTATTTCATTTTTTAGGCAGTGCTTTTACATGAAGACAAAAAGAAACAAAAAACAACAATATTTTTGAGTCCCCAGTCAGGTATGTGGGTTTTTAAAAGAAAAACAAATGTGTATTATTTTATTTACTGCATACTTTACCACATGCCTTCTGAGACTCTCTGAATATGTGTTTTTCACAGGGATTGAACATCAGAATCACTTGGTGGAACTCTAAAACACGCAGTTGCCCATCCTCTACCTTTATTTCCTAAAGTTAATTCTTCAGTGGTTAAGCATGGGCCTGTGTGTTTTGTAAATGTTCCAAGTGATGTTTATACCACATGTGAGTGGCAACCAGAGTCTTCAATTATTTGTTCCAGTCATGTGCTTTTTGTTGCTGCTTTGAACTTGCTGCTGTCTTGCCAGCAGTGTTTTCTCCTCCTGGAGAGTATTTGCCACACACAAAGTAAGGAAAAAAAAAGCAACTTTTAACCTGAACTCCACTCCTACCCCTCAGCTACTTCATGTATTCATTCTTTCAACAAATAGTTATCCAGCCTTTCCCTCCCTTTCTAAGTTCAGGATGCTGGCTTCAACACTGAAGATACAGCAGTGAACAACCAAATCCCCTTCTCTCATTTACTCTGCATCCTTCTCAGAAGAGGTAGACAATAAAGAGATACAGAGATAATATGTCATGTGGTGGCAAATGCCAGGAAGAAATAACAAAGCAAGAAAAGGGATAAAGAGGCAGCCTCTCTGGTAAAGTAACATTTAAGCAAAGAATCAAATGAAACAAAGGGGCTAGTTAAGGGGAAATTGGCATTAGACTGGTAAACTTAGAGTTGTCCTGCAGCATTAGTGAGGCAGTGTGGCAGGGGCGGAACAGGATTGGAAACTTGAGAGACAAAGAAATTGAAAAAAAAAAAAAAGAGTGGAACAGGCAGGAGGGGTGAGTGAGTGGTGGAGGTGAAGTCAGAGGGTGGATGGATCTGGGTTATGAAGCGCCTTCAGCAGTGGTAGTAATTGTTTTGTTGCCTGCCCCCCCACCCCCCAAGTGAAATGAGAGACTATTGTCTCTCTGAGCCAAAGAGTAATATTATCTGAATCCTATTTTAAAAGGTTCATTATGTCTACTGTGTGGAGACAAGGTGGCCGCTTAGAAACCAACCCACCCCAGCCTGCTGATTTGTAGAGATGTGGTCTCCCTATGTTGCCCAGACTGGCTTTGAACTCCTGACCTCATGTGATCCTCCCAACTTGGCCTCCCAAAATATTAAAATGATAGATATGAGCCGCCACACTTGGCCATAGCTTCAGCCTTGAGCAGATACTTTCTAAGATACTTTCTAAACATTTTATATAGGAAAAAGCTAATTCTTGAATAGACAAGATGTTCGTTTTGCTGAGAATAACGTAGCATGGTGTTTAAGATTGTGTGGGTATGATTTCTGGCTTTGTGATCCTGAGAGACTGCCTTATCCTCCATATGCCTCAGTTTCCTCATGTGTAAAAAGGGGATAATAATAATACCTGACAGGGATGTTGGGCAAAATCCCATGTAAAAGTACCTAGAACAGTGCCTGTGTATAGTGAGAGCAGAGCAAAGGTTCCTGGTGGTGGTATTATTCCTTCAGGGTATCACCAAGTCTTCCAGTGCCAGCATTGTTCAATTGAGAGAGAAATATAGATGCTAGGCATACACCTAGAAATGGCATTGACAATAAGTTAGGACTTCTGTGATTATCTTCTGAGTAAAAGATCTAAATACTTATAAATCTTTTGAGCAACTGGAGAAAATGTATTTACTACAGGAAAAATGTATTGCAATAATTATGTTACTTTATACCAGAAAGGTGGTTAAAATTCTATCCAATAAATTAGACTCTTCCAAGTAAGTGTATGACAGATGAAATAACTATCTAGTTATCCATGATAGACGTATCCAAATCATCTATGTTGTTATATGTGAACTATAACTCACCTGTAAATAGTATTAATTTCCCCACAGCTCTTCCCTTCCGTAGTACTAAGTGTCTTTGACCCACTTGTAATTTCTCAAGAGAGCATGTTGATACGGACAGCCCCTTCTATCATACATGGTGTATTGACCTTAGGCAAGAGATGTAGTTTCTCTGAGCTCCAGCTGTCTCATCTATAAAATTGGTGTTAACACCATTTATCTCATAGGGTGCTAAGAAGATTAAAGTACCACCCATAGTAGGCACTCAGTCAAGTTCTCTTTCCTCTCCTGATACCTACCTCCATCCTTTCCTCTAGGTTGCATACAGTTCTTAACTCCCAAAGGAGATCATAATAGATAGAAAGTCCCATGAATGTCCTTGCTCTTTGTTGTTACTTCTCCCCCTCCGCACACAATGCCTTAGATATTCAGTAGGTTTTATTGAATACAGGTGAACTTATTTGGAAGGAATAAAAAGGCAAAGCAGGAGAATGAGCAAGAACATGAGCTTTAGAGTGAGAGACTTGAGTTTGAAATCCAGCCCAACCATTTACTAGTTGTGTGACCTTTGTCAAGTTATGCAACCTCTCTGTGCCTCAGTTTCCTTGTTGGTAAATTGGTGCTAAAACCTCACAGGACTATTGTAAGGATTAACTTCATGTAGATAAGGCACTTAACACATCTTATCACTCAATAAATTATCACTGCCCTTTGTTACTATGGTTAACAGAAACACTTGCTGTAATTTATCTCTTCTAACTTATAGGACAAATAAATAATGGAAATTTCTAAGAAAACAAAATTATGTAGAGATTGTGGTACCACAGTGATAAACTGATTTTTATGCTCACATTAATTACTCTGGTTTATGTATGAAAATTTATTCAGTATTAGAATCTCAGAAAACTAATGTTTTTTCCATTCTTTAATCTTCCTACCCTTTTTTTTGGTAAATTACTTTAAAAGAAAACCTACCTCTGTCTTTTCTTTTATTCCATTTTAATCTTATGGCTTGAAATCTGAAAACTTTGAGGTGCTGTAAGAGATTGGTGGATGTATTTTTGCCCTCATGGTAATGTATTCTTTTACAGCTTTTATCATTGATCAGAATTTTAAAGCCTCCCTATTTTAAAAAACAAAAAACAGTGATCTTTATGATAATAAGTTTTAAATAATAGAAATACTTATAAAAATAGTATGGGGAGATCTCAGTGATAGTGAATATAGATCATTCTCATTGATACCCTTCTTTGGATATGCTAGTGTATTAATATACCATTGTTTATTTAATCATGTCTTATTAATGGACTGGCTGTTTTCACATATTTGTTATACCAACTGTCTTCACAACTTGTGATTACATATTCTCTCCCCAAATATTGAAAGCCCATATATATCCTTGTACATTTTTAAAGTTGATATCTAAATCTTTCATTGTAGTTGCAAAGCATGTAATTTCTTGGGGGAGAGGGGCTGTAAATATTGACCTTTTAAAATAAAACTTGTAAGTCAGCCTTAAATGTATCAACTGAAGTATAAATATCATTGCTTTTTCATACCCACCATCATTTATATAGAGCTCAGCTCTTCTTTAACAGACAAAAATGTTATATCATTTCTCTTTTGCCCTTGATTTCCTTTGTTGTAGTTGTTCTACAGAATTTAAGCATAAGATGAATATTTTGTTTGTTTGAACTTCTCCCTGAGGTGATATATTTTATTATACATATTTTCATGTATTTTATTGAGTAGTTTATCATGCTTATCTGCAACAAAAATGACAGGGGTGACAAGCTAGACCCTATTTTCTATAAATTCAATTTTTAAGCTTTTTATTAAATATCAAAGGATGAAAATATCTTCTACATTGTTGTCACAATTATTAGAATATATAATTGATCAAAACAAATGTTACAAATTTTAATTAACAATTACTTTTTATGTTTATATACTGAAAACAACTTTCATGTAATAAGAAAAATGGGATTTTCCCTATACATTCATGTATCTTTGAGTCATTATTTATTGCATGAGTAAGACTGTTCCTTTTCTGTCCCTAATTTTTTTATTTTTATAGTTGATAAAATAGAAAAAACTCAATATTCTTTATGATAACAAGTTAAAAATAATAGAAATACTTTAAGAGTTTGCGAATACAAGATATATTACAATAGTGCCATTCAATTATTATGATTCCTTCTTAATTACATGACCAAAAATCAGTGATGTATCATCAAAAATTATTTGTAATGATCATCCACTATCAATGTAAAAGCTAAAAATTTGGATTATTAGAGGCATTCACATTCACCACACATATCAGCTTTTATTTGCTTCTCCTCTTCTGCAGGTGTTTTTGCCTCATGGCAATGCACCACAGTAAGATTTGACTGGTTAGGAGATACTTGATTCTTTTATAAAGCAGGTGAATAATTGTCAAAGAGGAGTTAGAAAGAATAATTGGAATGATTCCTGAAAACCAGCGTAAGCCTTGACCACAAAGGCATTCACAGGCATATAATTTTTAAGAAAAAGTACATATGAAAGCTGAGGAGCTGGAAATTGATTCTCTTAAAACTATCCTTGCAGCCAGGCATCATGGCTCATGCCTGTAATCCCAGCAATTTGGGATGCCGGGGTAGGCAGACCACCTGAGGTCGGGAGTTCGAGACCAGCCTGGCCAATGTGGTGAAACCTTGTCTCTTACTAAAAATACAAATTTGGTTGGGTATTGTGGTGTACACCTGTAATCCCAGCTACTCGGGAGGCTGAGAGGAGAATCACTTGAACCCGGGAGGTGGAGGTTGCAGTGAGCCAAGATTGAGCCACTGAGCTCCAGCCTGGGCAACAGAGTGACACTCCATCTCAAAAAAGAAAAAAAAACTATCCTTACCTACATGCCCTGTCAGGTAGGCTCAGGACACATGGACCCAAGTTGGAAGAGCACCATTTTTATAAAACACTCTAATGAATATTTGCATATTTGTCCATTTCATCAGGATAACTTCCCACTCATAAGAATTATAGGTTAAAAAGTGTGCACATTTTGAGTGAAGCTGATATTCCCAAATTATGATTGTTGACAATCCCAGAGAGTCAGTGACATTGTTTCCCATACCCCGACTTCATTGGGATAGTCTTTTCATTTTGCGTGTGTCTGCTTGAATTCATAATTACCATTGAACTCTACCATTTTTTTTTACATGATTTCATCTATCTTACTTTATATTTATGTCTTTGTACTTTTGTATTGGAGTATTCCTGACAGGGTCTCACTGTCACCCAGGCTGGTTGGCAGTGGCTCAATTATAGCTTACTACAACCTTGAACTCTCAAGCAATCCTCCCACCTCAGTCTCCCAAGTAGCTTGGACCATAAGCGAGTGACACCACATTCAACTGGTTTTTAATTTTTTTTATTTTTGTGGAGATGGGGGTCTCGCCATGTCGCCCAGGCTGGTCTTGAATTTCGGGGCTCAGACGATCCTCCCTCCTCAGCTTCCAGAAGTGTTGGGATTACAGGCGTGAGCCACTCTACTCTGCCCAGATTATTATTCTTTTAACCTCACTTAGATGTATTTGCCATACAGATGACTGTTTGTTTTAATAGTATGATCTAGCCAACTTTTGCTAGTTTCAAATCATGCTTACCAAATTGTATAAATTTCATGTTATTCCTCTATATTATATAAAAATTCATTCATATGTTATTTCTAGTACTTTTTTTTACATGCAAATTTTTATATTCAGGTATAGTGAAGATTTTTCTGATATAGTAGATTATATGTTGAAATGCTAAGTAAAAAGTATAATACTAGTAAGTTTAGTAAAAACCTGCTAGTACTATACTTACCAAGGTGTTTAACATTTTGGAAAAACAAAAACAGGTACAAGTAGTAGTATAACAATAACTAATTTACCTTCTAGAGAATTGGCATTGTTTTTCAATTTTCTTTTTCTTTTAGAGGGGGGGTTTCACTCTGTCACCCAGGCAGGAGTACAGTGGCACAATCAAAGCTCACTGCAGCCTCGAACTTCTGGGCTCAGGAAGTCTTCCCACCTCAGCCTTCCAAGTAGCTCACAGGCATGAGCCACTGGGCCTGGCTCAATTTTTTTTTTTTTTTTTTTTAAATAAAAGACCTGTCCCTGAAGTGGTAGAAGTGCCCTGAGTACCATTGCTAAGCTCATTTCCTCTATCATGCCCTTCTCAGCTCTAGAAACATCCATATTACAAGGTTAAGTCTCCTTCTAGTCTCCCCCCCCCCCCCCCCCCCCCCCCCTCCCCCCCCCCCCCCCCCCCCCAGGGGGGGGAAGAGAAAACAACCCCACCCCCCCCTCTTTTTTTTTTTGAGACAAAGTCTCCCTCTGTCGACCAGGCTGGAGTACAGTGGTGTGATCTCGGCTCACTGCAACCTCTGCCTTCCAGGTTCAGGTGATTCTCCTGCTTCTATATATCCTTCCAAATACCTGATTTTTTGTCAGAATTTTTGCAAATCTGATGGATGAAAACTACTTTGGTGGTAATTTTTTTTGGTGGTAGTTTAGTAGCCTCAGCTTCCCAAAGTGCTGGTATTACAGGCCCTTTTTACATATTTATTGGCCATTTGGAGTTACTCTTCTGTGAATTGTCTGTCCAAATCATTTGCCTATTTTCCCATTGAATTATCATTTTCCTATTAATTTTTAAAGGTTCTTCATTTATTCTGAATACTGCTCTTTTATTATTGTATAAATTTCAAGTGTCTACCTCCAGTATATCTTCTAATTTTTTGTGTGTATTGCCATTGTTTTTAATTTTGAGATAATCAAATTATTAACTTTCCATAATTAGTTTTCATCATCATATGGTTCATAATTTAGTGTCATCTTTAAGAAATTCTTTTGTAACCTGAGGTCATAAAGATATGCATCTCTATTTTCTTCTAACAACTTAAATTTTTTTTCTATTTAGATCTTTAATCCATCTAGAGTTTATGTGTGTGTAAAGTATGAGGTAGTGATCTAAGCTTTTTTCCCTCTAGTGAAAAGCCTGCTACCCGTTTTTTTTGTTTGTTTGTTTTTTTGTTTTTTTGAGACAGTCTTGCTCTGTTGCCCAGGCTGGAGTACAATGATGTAGTCTTGGCTCACTGCACCCCCACCTCCTGGGTTCAAGCAATTCTTCTGCCTCAGCCTCCTGAGTATCTGGGACTACAGGCGTATATGCCGCCACACCCAGCTAATTAATATATATATATATATATATATATATATATATATATATTTTTTTTTTTTTTTTGGTATTTTAGTAGAGAGGAGGTTTCACTCTGTTGCCCAGGCTGGTCCCAAACTCCTGTGCTCAGGCTATCCCCTTGCCTTGGCCTCCCAAAGTGTTAGGATTATAGACGTGAGCCACCTTGCCCAGATGAAAAGCTTTATCTCAATACTTCATGCAGGTCACAATATCAAAGATGGGAGCCTACAGACCAATAGACACTCTGTGGCATAAATAATACAGTGGTAGAACAATAGAGCACTTTGTTTCTTCCTGAGTGAAATTTCTTACTGAATTCCCTGGCTGATATTTTGCGTTGTGAGTTGATTATCAAGATGTCCTGCTTTGAAAAGTATGTGTTTAGGGAATGTTTTTATTTGCATACTTAATATGTTTGCTATGGAAAATTTAGAAAGTATTGTTAAGTAAAATGAAGAAAATAAAAACTGCCTATACTCCCTTCATTCTAGCATTAACTACTATTTAGGCTTTGGGGATAAAATTTTCCTGTCTTTTTACATTAATGTAATAATAGTTAATGTTTATTAGGCATTTTCTATGTGCCAGGTACTTTCCAGTTGCTTTGCACGTATTCAGCCAAGCTTCACAATAACTTCGAGAGCAGATATTATTGTCCTTATTTTACAGATAAAGAAAATGAGGCACCAAATACATGATTGGTGGGGTGTTTTTTAGTTTTTGAAAATGCTATTTATATAGTTTTATACCTTGTTTTCTCATTATTATGAGAAATACTCTGTGTGTACCTAATACTCTGTTACGTGCATAGTTCCTCATATACTTGGTCATGTCGTAAGCTTTGAACTTTTAAGTTGTTTACGTTGTTAAATTATAAGGTTTTTATGAATATTTATTTATTTAGCAGCATTTCTATCCACCTCCTCCTGATCATCTTCCTTCTAATAATTTGGTAACCAAAAATTGATAGTTTTAATTTGCATTTCATTGATTACCCTTGATATTGAATTTTCATATGCTTATGCCATTTTTCTTTTCTATTTTGTATATTTTCTTTACCTAGTTATCTGATGGTGTTCATCTTTTTTCTGTTGACTTATAAGTTCATTAAGTATGGTAGTGTACTTAGGAAACTCTTTCTTACCCTACCCTAGGATTATCTAAATACTCACCATTTCTTATAATCTGACTTTCTTATAGTTAACATTTAATTCTGTAGTTCACTTTGAAATGGGTAGAGAAGAAGGGTATGGTGTGAGGAAGGAAATACCTCCCTTCTTCCCCCTCCAAA